ATTTACTACATTTTGTTTATCCTTTGATTAATGGACATCTGGATTGTTTCACCCTTTTCTGTTATTTTGTGGGTGTACTAAAGTTTGTTTAAATAGTTTAAAGAGCATGTTAAAAAGATGAACCTGATGATAAATATCATCTCAAAGAAAGTAGGCTTTTGCTAGATTTCTTTTTAAACAAAATAAGTTAGGCCTCTTAAAATCCCATTGCTAGAATCCACAGGAATCAAGGCAGCCCATTTCTCCATCTATCCATCCATGGATCCATCAAGTACCTAATGTATGCTAGGTGCTGGAGATACAGAGACAAGTATATGTCCCTTCAAGCATGTCAAACTCATAACCCGCCGGCCACGAGTTTGACATGCTTGGGTATGCGCACAATTGGAATGTAGGTGTGGAAGACAAGTGGCCATGTGTGCTAGTCTTCTCAGTTTGCCATAAGAGAATACTATAGACGAGATGGCTTAAGCAACAGAAATGTATTTCCTTATAGTTCTGGAGGCTAGGAGTCCAAGATCAAAGTGCTGACAGGGTTAGTTTCTGGTGTAGCCTTTCTTCATGGCTTGCAAAAGGCTGCCTTCTCACTGTGTCCTCATGTGACTTTTCCTGTGTTGCATTTGTTCTTGGTGTCTCTTCCTCTTCTTATAAAGACATCAGTCAGATTGGATGAAAGCCCCACATTGAGGAACTCATTTAACCTTAATTATCTCCTTAAAGGCCCCCTCTAAATACAGCTACATTGGGAGGTAGGGCTTCAACATATGGATTGAGAGGGGCACAATTTGATCGATAATAATATGTAAACAGCTAGTTTCAGCTAGTGTGATGGTGCTCCAATGGAGACAAGTCTGCCACATGGAAGTCCCAAGGAGGGACTTCCTGTTGCCTACAAGGTTGAAGGTTCACACTGAAAGTCCCTTTAAGATGTATCTTGAAGGATGAGAAGAGCTTATCAGGCAGCAGAGAGGAGACAGAGGCATATGCAGAGGCTAGGAGGACCCAGGGTATGTGGAGCTCCTTGCTAGGGGCATGGCTTGTGTGTTTGGTGGACACAGTGGAGAGGGAGGTGGGGGAGAGATATGATCAAGCCAGACCAGGGCCTTCATATAGTTCTTGAGTTGCATTTCTATCCTGAAGCAGAGTGGGAAGGGGAGGAATATAGAACTAGGTGCTTCCCTGAAGGAGAGATTGGGTGATGGTTGGAGGGAGGACTAGTGGTCAAGAGAGGTTTTTATTTTCAATATAATCTAGTGAAATATCCCATGCATGAAGGTATTACAATTGTTTATGTATCGTTAGAAGAATAAAATGAATGCCCATGTATCCCAGGCAGAAAAACAGTACTTTTGGGGCCACCCACTCTAATTCCACAATGATATCTCCTTCCTCTCCCCAGAGGGAACCGCTGTGTTGACTTGAGTCTTTATTATTTGAGAAAGGTTTGTATAAAAAGCCTTTGACTGGGTGTAAAGCTATCAGTTGTCTCATTCTCTGTCATTCTGATAGATTTTTTTTCCTTTTGACATGTTTTTTTATTTTTAATATATATTTTTATTGATTTCAGAGAGGAAGGGAGAGGGAACGATAGAAACATCAATGATGAGAGAGAATCATTGATTGGCTGCCTCCTGCATGCCCCCTACTGGGGATGGAGCCCACAACCTAGGCATATGCCCTTGACTGGAATGGAACCCGGGACCCTTTAGCCCACAGGTCGACGTTCTATCTACTGAACCAAACCGTCTAGGGCTCTTTTGACATGTTTTAAAAATGAACTTTTATGTACTTCGCTAAAAGTAATTTTGGCAGGAACTAGGTTAATTCTCTGTAGCCCTTGGCACATGTAAAAAGCAACTGTTATTCACAGGTTGGCCAGGCCCTCTTTTGTTCTTCATAGCTGACCAAACAGATTGTCTATTTATTTTATTTATTTTTCCAAACAAATTCAGTTTGAGGTGTGGTTGGTTTGGATAATGTTATAAGAATGACCAAACTTTGCCGTGACTGGTTTGGCTCAGTGGATAGAGCGTAGGCCTGCGGACTGAAGGGTCCCAGGTTCGATTCCAGTCAAGGGCATGTATCTTAGTTGCAGGCACATCCCCAGTGGGAGGTGTGCAGGGGGCAGCTGATCGATGTTTCTCTCTCATCGATGTTCCTAACTCTCTATTCCTCTCCCTTCCTCTCTGTAAAAAATCAATAAAATATAAAAAAAAAAACAACAACAACAAAAGAATGACCAAACTTTAAAAGGAGATGTAGAATTAAAAATGGCTTCTTATATAATGCTAACACTTATCTCTCAGACTGATGGCTGTATGTTTTAGAATTCCTGATTATTATCCTTAAAATCAAAAGTTGATTTTAACCTTCCCTATTTCCCTCTAGCCTTTTCTGTTTTTATTTGTGTACACTTTTTGTAGAAAATTAGTTTATTTTGGATAATCAACTTTTAAAGAGAGTGGAAGGGAGGGGGAGAGACACAGAGAGGGAAACACCGATGTGAGAGAGATGTTTGCCTCCTGCACGCTCCCCAACCAGGGCCCCAGTGGAGCCTGCAACCAAGGTACGTGCCCTTGACTGGAATCGAACCCGGAACCCTTCAGTCCACAGGCCAACACTCCATCCACTGACCCAAACCAGGTAGGGCTCAAATTTGTTAATTTTTGAATCCAAAAAGAAATAGTATTTTTATGAGGAGTCTGTTCAGATACAATATTAAATAGTAGGAAATCAAGGGAATATATGTAACCAATTGTTCAAAGAACATGCTCGACAAGATTCCTTGCATTTAATTTTGGGAGGGGGTAAAAATTTAAAATATAATAAGCTTGGACTTTGACATAGGGAGTTGAATAATTTTTTTCTTTTAAATAAACTCTAATGGGAGCATTACAGGCTTTAGATTTTAATAACTATTGTACACAAATGTTTATTGATATAGAGAGTTGTTAGTAATAAATGAAAAAGACTATTAGACTATGCATGAGACTATTTTTTCACAAAACAAAATATTTAGAGGTTTTTATATTATTAGTTCTAACAATAATTACCTCTGAGTAGTGGTGGAATTACGAATGGCTTTTTGTTTTGCTTACTGAGCATTTTTCATCCTTCATTTAAAAAAAAAACAACCTACACGTTATTGATATAATTCACATACAGTAAAGTTAACCCTCTTAAAATATATGGTTCAGTGTTTCATATTACATTCAGAGTTGTGCAACCATCACCACAAGCAAGTTTAGAACATTTTTACCACCTTAAAAATAAAATCTATTCCCATTAGCAGTCATTCTGCATTTTTCTCTAATGCTCCCAGCCCTAGGCAACCACGAATCTTCCTTCTGTTTCATAGATTTGGCTATTGTGACCATTTCATATAAATGGAATGATACAATATGTGTCTTTTGTGTCACTTAGCATGTTTTCAAAGTTCACACACTTTATAACATGTATCAGTACTTCACATCTTTTTATGGCTGAATAATAAAATTTTGTATGGATATGCCACATTTTACTTATCCATTCATTGCTTGATGGACATTTGGTTGTTTCCACTTTTTGGCTATTGTGAATAGTGTTGCTATGAACATTCACACGTGTTTTTATTTCTCTTGTATATATACCTGGTAGTGGAATTCCTAGGTCATAAGGTCACTGTTTAACCGTTTGAACAACTGCCATACTATTTTCCAAATTGGCTACACCATTTATAATTCTACCAGCAATATATGAGGGTTTCAATTTCTCAACATTCTTGCCAACACTTTTTATTTATCTTTCTGATTATAGCCGTTCTTGTGAGTGTGAAGTGGTATCTCATTGTGGTTACCATTGTTATTTCCCTAATGATTAATGATGTTGAGCATTTATTAATGTGCTTATTGGCTATTTATATATCTACTTTTTGTATTCATATCCTTTGCCCATTTTTAAAAGTGGGTTCTCCTTTTATTGTTGAGTTGTAAGTTTTTTTTTGTTTTTTTAAAAATATTGATTTTTTTACAGAGAGGAAGGGAGAGGGATAGAGAGTTAGAAACATCGATGAGAGAGAAACACTGATCAGCTGCCTCCTGCACACTCCCTACTGGGGATGTGCCCGCAACCAAGGTACATGCCTGACCAGAATCGAACCTGGACCCTTGAGTCCTGCACGACTGACGCTCTATCCACTGAGCCAATCACTTAGGGCAAGAATTCATTAAAAAAAAATACTTTTATTGATTTCGGAGAGGAATGGAAAGGGAAAATGACGGAAACATCAATGATGAGTGAGAAGCATGGTACGCTGCCAGTGCACGCCCCATCCC